TAAAATTTGGATGACCTGCATCAAAGCTAATGATGGATTTTTAAACAATGCAGATAGGCACCCACTAAAACTTCTTGTCAATAATAAATTTGAAGCTCTACGAACCATCGAGTCAATTTCTGCCTGCGGCATTTTTAGTTCATCAGAGAACTTCAAGCAACAGTTCATGAATTCTTTGACTTGTTTGTAAACAGCAGGCACCATTGGAGAGAAAGGGAATCTAAAAAATAATAAATGTTAATAGGCCTTTTTTTTAATAAATGATAATGATAAGACTAATCAGAGTAACATACTTTCTTGGAAATGCTTCTTGTTCTAAACTTTCATAATCAAATGGGAATATAGAAACAACCTCATTGAACTGTTCTTGATTATTTGCCTACAATTCAAACAAGCACATTTACTTGAAATGCAATAATTATGAATAACATGTTCAAAGTGTCACCTCCATTGGCAGAAATTCTTCTCCTTCCTCCAAAATATTTCTGAAAATTTGTACCCACTGTTGCATCAATACCTCATTGTAATGATCGCGCATTTCTAGTAGCAAATCATTAACTGGGGTCAGTGAATATCCATATGTTCTTAAAAGAAACAAATTATGTATATATATATATATATATATATATATTATATTAAGAAATCATCTTTTACCATTTCAGCTTCAGCTTACCTAAGAGTATTGCTTGCCAGCATGATTAAATTTTTAATATTTAGCATGAGTTTAGAATCTGTACAGTAAGCAAAATGTGTTCTTAAAGAATTCATCATACGGGTTTGTGAAACATTCCACAGTTCATCTAAATAAGCTTTTCCAACTAATTCTCCACCTGGAAATGTGTAGTTGAAATGAAAGTCTGGATAGTGATAGATTTTAAGAATAAAATTATCTCACCCGTGTTCAAAACATGATCCTCAATTACAAAAAACCCAACAACGGATTGCAAATATATTTTATATGCATTTATACTTTCATGCATATTTTGAGGGGGTTGCAATACCAGCCGTGCCTGATGTTTTCTCTGTTGCCTACATGATTATTTGTAATAGTATTAAAAATGTCGAGTTAACTGATTTTCTAAATTTTATTTTCATGTCACCTATAATATTGTTCAAATTCTGCCTGAGAGCCTAATATGGTATATATGTGAGAGCAACGATAAACTGGAGAAAAGTCTATTAAATCCTGAGCACTGACATCTTCATCATCATCCAACAGGCCATTTTGTATTATACTTGTATTAGTTTCATTTTCAAGACTAGTCTGGGAAGCCTTAATAGTTCCAATAACCATTGCCAAATCCCTTTTTCTCTTGCTCTTTTGTGTGGCGCATTGCAACTTCTCCTATTCGAGATGAAAACTTTCTAATATTTTCCAGAAAATCCTAATGTGGAGTAGATGAATTATCACAAAATATTATAATCATAAAATACTTGAATAAAATCATACCTTCAAATCAGCCATAGATGCGTCTTTGATAGATTCTCGTAGTTTGGGAACAGAATCTTTCATTTGTTGAGAGAATTTATGTTGTGAGACACCAGGCAAATGAATTTCTTCCAATTGGTTCAAAGTTTTCAATGCGGGATAATATCTAATAAAATATTCAAAATCGTAATGACTATATCTTCAATTTTGTGCATTGTTGCATTTTTATTTGGTTTTACCTTTTTTCGCTAACTTGTTTTAATAGTTTAGAATAAGTTTCCAGGACAGGCAGACTTGCTTCTATATTTTGTATAACACTAGCTATATTACTCTCAACCATTCTTGCTTTCACAAGGGCTTCACCTTTTGCAAGTATTCCTGAGAAAAATAATTTTTAATTTACATGTTCTTAGATATCTAATAAAATTTATGATAAACATTTTAAACAAACCACTGGCAATATTTTGCAAATCAGCATCAATTTCTACAACTTCTGCATTTAGTTTTTGTGATTGTGTTCGCACTTGCAACAACTCTCTAATTGATTCTATGAAGCCCTATTATGAAAAATATTACCAAATAAGAGAAACAAACCAATATGGGGTAATTCATAGTCCAATGCAGTAATCAGTAACTGTACCTGATAATATTGAGAGCACATTCGCTCTATTTCTTTATCATGGCTTTTAATCCGGGCTTCCAGATTTTCCATGAGTGTCTGCTGCCCATCTCCTTCATAGATGGACCTGAAAGTGGGCCCCCAGTAATCATCTATAGCCTCAATTTCCTTAAACAAATAAATTTATTAACGGAACGAATGAAAGAACTTTAATCATGAATTTGACATTTTGAATTTATTTTTTGTACCTGAATTGAAACATTAGCCATGATTTATTTTGATATATAAAACAATAATGGAATTCTTCTGAACAATGTTTTGTACGATTGTCGACTTTAAATGTTACATTATTTTACTTCTTATGTTATGTTATTTACATATTAGTACATTAAGCTGTAATGCCGACACAATTTTCTAATTCTTAAATAGTTAAATAATATTTCTGTTTTGTTTTTATGTAAATTATTTTAAAACAAGGTTAATTTGACATTTTGACGTTCAATAATAAATTTATAGATCTTTAAATCTCATCTGGTAATATGAAATCTTATGTTGGTGCGTCTGTGCAATTTCTTAAATTCGTGCAATACTAAACAAGTAGTACCAATGCCAACAGCCTCATCATTGATTTAACAAAACCTTTCTGCTGTCAGTGACAATTGCAGTTGCGAAATTATTAAAAACCATTATTAGCAATTGGCTGCTACATGTTAAAGGTAAATATGTCATCCTTGTTAAAGAATTCCTGCTGCGCAATTATCAATCACATATAATTTACAAAATTGTGCTACATATCTTACGGGTGACACATTCTGAATATGACATTTGTTACCTTCATGAACATTTTTCTTATGACGATTTTTTTATAACTATTTTTTTTTAGATAAGATGTACATTGACTGATTTGTTACTTAGAAGTCATGGATTTTCCACAGTATGCAAATAAAGATCAAGAAATATCTTATTGGAAGGATTTAGCAGATAAATATTTACAAGAGTAAGTATTCTATTCAACAATAAAATGTTACAAAGACCTTCCTATAAAAGTGTTGTTATTAAGTGGTAATGTTATCTTTATACATTTTGCAATATTATAGTATGTTTCTAATTAGGAAAAGTGATGCTCAACAAGAATTGGAGGATTTTACAGAGGAATCTCGACAGCTAGAGTGTGAATTAGAAGCTTCTCTTAAACAATCTGAAAATGAAATAAGAGACTTGAGGTTAACTGTCAGGAATTTACAAGCAGAATTAGAATCTTCAAGGGTATTTTATTTTATAATATTTATATAATTTAACTGCACACCTATTAATTTCTATATTAATGAGTAAAAAAAACTTGATGGCTTCAAAATGCTTTACATTCATGTTTCTCAAATATTTCAGAATAAATTGGAAACATTTGACAAAGAGAACTGCTCTCTAGAAGTTAATTGCAATGCATTATCATCAGAAAAAGAAAAATTATTAATTTATATTAGGGAACTGGAACAAAAAAATGATGACCTTGAAAGAGCTCATAGGTTATTTGAAATTGAATTACTGTCATTATTATTATTTATAATTGTTAGTAATACAATTAATATTTTCATATTCATTGCTTACAGAAATGTAACAGAAAGTGTTGCTACGTTTGAGGATCTTTTAAATAAAGCGTATGAAAAGAATGCATTGCTAGAAAATGAAGTTGGTGAGAAAGAAAATTTACAAGTTCAGTTACAACGGCTGCGTGATGAAGCTAGAGGTAGAACAAATATTACAACTTGAACCAGTAGCATGACTTATCTATACTAATTATCTATATTTTATGCAAGATCTGAAACAAGAACTTAAAATAAAAGTCAAGGATGGAGACAAGAATTTGACAAATGGTTATAGTAATTCTTATATGAATTTATCACTGGATTCAAATCGACTGCACTGTGAAATGGAAACACAGACAGTGGTGGACAACCAGACAACCATGAACACCCCAATAAAACGTAAGCTTCATAGGGCTTTCAGAAGAGTTCACACATTATTTAGATCGAATTATAGGATCAACAATATTAATAATAGTAAAAGCAATACTTGAAGTTATTGTCTTAGTTTTGATTTCAAATTGTTATTAATGATTGAATTTAATGACAATGCATTAATGTATTCTGAAAAGTATAGGTTTAAATATATAATGCAGTTTATTTTTATATTCAAAATTGAATAAAATATAATTGAGAAATGAAATTTTATTGGCATAATTATTATTTTTGGTTCTGTCATAAATATCCTTGAGTTCTCAATCAATTAAATCAATTGTTTTTGCTATTTATGTGTCAACTATTGGCAATACTTGATTTAGAAAGCATACATATGTGTTTGTCATTATTCAATTTTATATTTAGGAATCTCTTTCATTAAAATTTGTATGTGCTTGTGATTTTTATTTACTACAAAGTTTGTTCAATTTTGTCATGGCCCACATATCACAAAATGGCCATTATTAATATTTTCTATTGCTATAGACTATTTATAAAACTTCTGCTCTAGTTTAATGTAAATTATTAATTAAATTTTAGAACAATTAAAAATTGATGGTAACAGCCTCACATCTGCTGGCAGAATATCGGCAATGAATATTGTTGGAGATCTGCTGAGAAAAGTAGGGGTGAGTTTATTTTTTAATATAATATAAACTAATAAAGTAAATCATTTTTGGTATATATATACAGTAGAATCCGCTTAGTATGACATCGAAGGGACGCCAAAATCTCGTCATACTAACCGGTCGTCATTAAAAGCGTACGGAAGAAAAACTTTTTAATATGCAAATATGTTACATGTTTCAGTAATTTAAAAGAAAAGCCTATACAAACGATTTAATTAAAAATAAAAATGACACATTAAAATTTAATATAAAATAAAATTGACATAGGGTAGGGCGGGGCACAACGGTCCAACTTGACTTACGGTAATTATACTGTCTAAACCCAATGAACAACACATGAAAAACTCACATACATACGTACATAATTCCTAATTATATAAATATTATATTTTTTACTATTTTTTAAACATAAAGTTTTTACATTTGGTATCTGACCCATTTTACCTCACATACGGGGTAAAGTGGAACAACCAGGGAGCAAACAGATGCAATTTCTTCTATTAAATTTTAAAGGGATTTTACGCTACATTATTGAACCAATGCAAAATATTAATTCCGTGGGTACATTTGTTACAAAGACAACACAGTATATTACATTGATCTGCTATTGGTCAGAAATATTCATCAGAAGAGCCGGAATAACAATTTATTCAATTAATCTCTTGTAAAATTGCTTTTTTTTAAACTTTACTATTTTATTGCTTACACCTTTGCCAAAGTAAATTTTCAGCTGGTCCTTTTTATCGCAATCATGTGCTGCTTATCTTCTGATAGCAAAGTCATAAAAATAAAGGTGATGGCTGGTTATGAATTTATACATTTTTTGCCCTCTACTATCAAATATTTTTGTTAAAAAAAATCTAATTTTATTTGTTTACGAGATATCCGTGGTGAACCATTAATAATTGGTCTACCCTACCCATAAACATACAAATGTGATTTTTTAATGTAAGTAATCAGTAATTTTTGATTGATTTCTTTACATAATTTTATTGTAAAAACAGTCCCTGGTGCTATTGTGCACAAAAGACATAGCAATTGCTTTCGTAGACTTGGCCACATCATGTAAAATCATGTCGGTCATTATAAATGAACATATTTTTTTGCAAAAATGGGTCATTATAAGCGACATGTCAATGTAAGCGATGTCAATATATCCGACTAGACAACTGTTTTTTTAAGGAATTTTATATGGAAACCAAATTCCTAGTGCAATTACGTCATATTAAGCGGTTGTCAATATATCCGGCGTCATACTAATCGGATTCTACTGTATATATATATATATATATATATATATATATATATAAATAAATAAAGTATACATATATACACATAAGGCAGCAATATGTAGTATTTGCATAGCGCCTATATAACATACCTAAAGAATGATTAACATTAAATAATCCATGTTTTATAATCATAATTCATGATTTAATATTGATATGGTTGATAATAAGACCATAATTGCAAAATATGAATAGGATCTAAATTATCATTAAAATCTTAACTAACATAAAATGTATTATGTCAAACATAAAACTTTGGTGCATACTAAATCTAATTTTGGAGTTTGCAAGAACCACTGAGGAGTTTGATGATGAAAATTTTAATAAACTAACACTACTAGAATTCATTCGATGAATGACCCTTTCATATTATTCTACTCTACCAACAATGTATTATGACAACTTTGGGTTGCATTTGTTTGCTACATTTAAAAACAAGAATCTCAGCATTTTATTAGTGAACATTTATAAAACTACTTACAATATTTTCATAAATGCAGCATGCAGGGCATAGGACAAATCCCAAATTCACCTGCCTACTTTTTTGTTCATTAACATATTTCCATAGTGCTTATAAATTTATTTGTAATCTTATATTTTTTTATTTTTATGTATTTTCTAAATCTCATGTGCTTTCATAACCATACTGGAAATGATTTCTTGATATATTGAAATATAATAGAAAATCAGTCAGATTCGAGACTTTTTATATAGAAAGAATCATAATTATATTATTTTTAGTAGGAAACTGAATTAATATAATTAAATAAATTAATATAGTTATATGACTATTACTGCATAATTTTTTGTGTTTTGATTATTAGATATTTTTATTCTTTACTTATTTAATTTTTTATTATCTTGTTATAAGACTTTTTCAGTGTGTTATATAAATCATTTGTTCTGATTTATTCATGTAAAATCATCACATGCTTCTAATTATGTTCCCATAACCTAGAGAATTTTTAATTACTTCATAAAATCATCAAGATTGTCAACATTTTGATTTATTTACTTTACAATTTTATTATTATTTATTTCTTTTTTTGTTCGATGGTAGTTTGGTAAGCTCCTATGTCCGGCATGCAGCAGAGTTACTTGTTCCTGCAATCCAAATTCTGGAAATAATCCAAATTGTGCAGCCACGCCACAAAAAAATTATAAAAGACTCTTTATAGATGGCAGATACCGTCCTGAAAATTTGGCATATTCCACTGAAACAATATCCGATATGGATGAAAGGGAACTTAATTCTATGGAATTTAGACTCATACAAAGCACTTGTGCTCTGAGAAGTCAATCTGTGATTGAAAATCCAGAAATTAGAAATGGGTCACATAAAAATAATATAGGGCTGAAAAAGCAAGAACATGCAAATGGTTTGGGGTACGCTAGCACATTGAATTCATTCTTTAGATCAAGAAGCAATAGTGACTTATCTACTGGACAAGACGCTAGTGCCAGGTTTCAAACGTGGCTCAATAATCTTATGAATAAAACTATTAAAAATGATGAAAAGAATTGATAGAGGATAATATAAAAAAATATATTTCGTCACTTTATCTCATGCTAAAGATGGGAATAAACTATTTCTAAATTAATTTAATTTAAAATACACTCTGTAAATTATAACTAATACTATTTATTTTACACACAAATTAGACAAATAATTGTGTGTATATATATACATATATTATATATTATATATATATATATATATATATATATATATATACATATACATATATAATTTATATTAAAATGTTTCCGGGCATCTGTTCAATAATAAGAAATTTTTTAATGAGGATAAATGACTATTAAAACTGCAAACATATTGAGTATGACTTTGACTCATATTCAGTTGCAAATTAAGAAATAATAATAAGAATAAATAATAACAGATTATTTCACATAACAATTAAAATGATAATATTGAGAATTAATAAATAATGAATGTTGAAAGTATTTAGAAATTAGAAAGAAACAATGTGATAAATGTATAATATGATATTCACTGCTAAAACATATAAATCACAAAAATAAATATAAAGTAGTATGTTGTAGCTCACCATAATTACTTTATTTTTACTTTTTTGCTTTATTGTATTCGTCACTTAATTTAAATATTATACATTTATTACTTTGTTTTTATTTATAAGGTCTAAATTAATTTTAGCATTCATTATTATTTATTATTATTGTCCTTTCTTAATTTTGAACTGAAAATGTATCAAAAGCATTGAATGCAACTTCAATAAAGACATTTTTCTTCATTAAACATTTTTTTATTATTGGATGGATGCTTGAAAACATTTTATCATATATTTATCACTATCTGATATATATATATATATATATATATATATATATATATACTAAAAAGATTTATATTTACGTTCTGGTTTTATTTTTCGACTTGTGGCTGCAAAACTGTATCATATATATATATATATATATATATATATATATATATATATTTAGTATATATATATACTAAAAAGATTTATATTTACGTTCTGGTTTTATTTTCGACTTGTGGCTGCAAAACTGTATCATATATATATATATATATATATATATATATATATATATATATTGTGAATATAACATTATTAGTTGTGTAATATACTAAAGTAGCAAATAATTTTTTAGTCATACACATATGTGCCTAATATTTAATATATGTATAAAAAAAATGAATATGAAATTTTAGTAATCCAATGACTTGATAGACAGATTTAATTTCCGGGCTAAATAACATTTTTCTCTGATTGTAGTGACAATTTTTAAGCTTAGGTACAGGTATAATTTAATAATTTATATTAAGAAAATGCTGTGAGTCTTACAGACAAATACCAATGACTCTGAGAAATGATAACGATTGATAATAATCAAAGTACACACTCATATTGATATTTTAAAATCATACCTGATAAAAAAGGTAGTGTTTATAAATATAAAGGTATAGTTTATTTTTATTTGTATTATAAATACAAAATGCACTTAAGTCTGAAAATTTTTTTTTTTGATCTTAAATTTGAACATTTAAAAATTCAGTTATTAATGTTGTGTTTACAACAAGTTATTGGATATATCTGGCGGTATCCAAATTTATAGTTTGCGTTTGAGTTATTATTTATTTATCATTTGTCTGCTAATATGTGCCAACTGATTTTTTTCAAGAGACAATAAATATTTAAAAACCTTAAATTTGTTTTAAAAAATACAATATAATGTTTAGCAAAACGAATAAGTACATATTGTATATATTGTTTTCCAAAGGAAACGTTTGTTTGGTCAGAAAATCCAATTTGTTGATTTTGATTTCTAAACGCTTCAAATGGTTCTGAATTGTTTAAAATCGAAAATGAATAAAGAGTGAGTTATACACATACACTTACTTTTATCAATTTTGGTCTCATTAAATTCAGAAAGACTTGAAACATCGAGAAAACATGAAGTTAGTAAAACTGATTTTTTGACAAGAGCATAAACTTTTCTTCTGAGAAGTTATTGTTTATTCATTTATTCAATAAATTTATTTATTTATTCGATTGCATTATCTGTGTTTTAGAATATGGAAGCAAAGCTTTCGATTGTGTCTAGCCATGGTTGCATGGAAGTCCAAAATGGAATATCATTAGGAGATACACCACCGAGCTCTTACAGGTTAAGGAAAAAAATATTATAAAATATATATCATTTTATTTACAATATTATAAATTTGTAGAAATCGAAGATCTACCAGAAGTGCAAATTCGCATTTACTCTTAGGATGCAAGAAGTATAATATTCCAAATTAATTGGAGAGTCAACAAGTGCTTTCAAAGTCATTCGATAAAGTTCATTTTGGTGTTTAAATCCTAGTTTAACTATTCTATGCTTTCTTCATTTCAATTGCACCAAAATTGCTGATTGAAAGTCCAATTTTGAAACAGAGTAAAAATTTGAAATTTCGCTCTTTTTCATAAATTTATATCAGGATAAGTATAATATAATGTAAGTAGATAAATAATATTTATTTGTATATAGAAAAATCTCATCAAATATTTTATATTTATTTTTTTATCGTAATGAAAGCTACAACAGAAAATCGTATTAACAAATTAACAAAAGCGTAGTTTTGTTGAACATGTATAGTTTGATTTGTCATATTTCTATATATATATTTCAATTATTACTTAGTAGTTTTATTGCAATTTTTAAATACAATTGTACGAAATTTTAGTTGAATGCAGGTTTTATGTTTTAAAAGAAGTAGTTTGTTGCTTCCTTTGTTAAGACTTATCCTCAAATATTTGTTAGCGATATTATTGTTTTCAAGTCTTTACAATGTACATTAATGCAAAACTGTTATATATTCAAATAAAACAGCTAAAGGCATTATATTTGTATTTATTGTCAGTTTGTTAAATTTCAAATTACATCCATAGTCTGAAATTTGCTAGGTGAATAATTAACATTTCGAAAAAGATATGTTTTTTTTTACAAGTTAATTGAAACAAATGCTTCCAACTTTATACATCACGTACTATACATATACTTATATAACATACATTCTTTTTGTCCTATAAGGTTTAGAATTTTGGTACAGAGTTTGTTTGTTTGATTGAACAGATTTATTTATTCAGTAATATACTACATAAAGGTGTGTGTGAGTATTTTTATCTTGTTTATCAATCTTATATCATAGTGACACAATTCTTTAATAAATATATTTGAAATAATCTTAATAATACAAATTAAATAAATTATAAAAATATAATGTATGTACTTGTATGAAGTATTAATTAATAATTCTACTACTTATATAAAAGATTTATAAAATGCAAAGCTGTTTGTTGCATCACAAGCTTTGATGATTTTGAAATTTATTCCTACATTAATAAATATCACTCGGTGTGCAATAAGTAGGTACTGTGGTACTGATAATGAATGAATGGGGGTTCTTTCGGCAGCCGGTAGGCCATTATGCAATACTTCGGACAGAGAATGACTCTTGCCTTGCACTCTATTCCACGCATAGGAATATGTCGGCGAAGTGGTCGTAGTCTAGTCAGTAAATGTTCTGACATAAAAATAACTAGTTGCATTAACTTTCCTTGAAAATAATCAGCTGAATCAATAAGAAATCTATCTATTATTTTACGAGATATGATAATAAAATATTTCACTAAATCAAGTATTGTATAAGTGTAACAGACATAAAAAATTAACTAGTCATTGCCTTAAGGCAAGTTGCATGAACTTTTCTTAAATGTGGAAATAATCGGCTGAATCAAGAATGTATATATATATATATATATATATATATATATATAAATTAGCTTATGTAAGGCAATTGATGACAGAAACATTTTATTATTTTTTATGATCTTAACCAAAAATTAATCAGCTCGATGTGTTTTTATAATATCCCATAAAATCAATTTTTTATATATTTTTAAAAACAAAATATTTGTATCAAACCAAAGTGGCGTTTCATTTTATTACATTTTCAGTCTGTAGTTTCATTGACACGGATTTTTATATCCACATTTTATTAAAGATAATTCAAATATATTATTACATATTGTTAAAAACATAATAAAATAGTCTACAAATCTGACTTTACAAACAAAATTAAATAATGAAGTTTTGTGAAATTTAGTTAAGTGTGCAAAAATTTTATATAACAAATTGTATTCTATCAGTTACAAGTCAAAAAATGCATTTTTGTGGACTAACATGTAATAACATATTACTTTAGACAAATAACGCAAATTTGACAAAGAGTTCTTTTACATGGCTATTGAAATATAAAAATAATTCTAATATAATTTTACGTTGCAGTTTGCCGACAGACAGAAGCCCATACAACATAATAATGGCGGAGGTTCTTTCGGCAGCCGGTCGGTGTCGGTCGGTGTCGGTCGGTGTCGGTATGCCGTATCATTATGCAATACTGCGGACAGAGAAGGACAAATATATTATGTGCGAGTGCGCTCGAGTACTATTGCGCACTCTATTCCACGCATAGGATTAATGCGCAAGACAAGGACAAAGATACGATGCGTAGACGCCGGCACGCGTGTCGAGCGGTGGGGATTGGCGTGCATCGACAGCATCGACAGCACTTGGCCTTCGACTGCGGCGGTGTACGGCTAGAAGGGTCTCGGCGAAGTGGACTCGACCGGATTGTTTCGTAAGTTCAACATAGTTACGAATTGAATTCGGTTTAATAGTGCGATAATTTTATATTAATTTCAAGGGTTTGTAATTGTGCCCTTATTAAGTGATTTTTTTTTTCAAATAAGTTTTTGATTTTCGGTATGTAGTTCAGTATGTTCAGTGAGTGAATTGAATTCTGTATCGAAGCTGCGATTCCGATAACCGATTACGTTTAGTACATATTGAGGTAACTATGAATTTATATCGAAATGCAATATTTTTAAACAATAAAATCGTTTCACGCCTATCTAATGATAATGATTTCTATTGCAGTTACAACAATTAGGTAGTCCAGACAAGATGTTGCAGTCCATTTCACAGGAGAAATTAAAATTGATGCAGTCTAATTTACGTGAGGCATTGAACCTGATGCAATACAGTTTACAGGAGAAAAGGTCAGTGGTACATATTTTTTGTATTAATTTCAGGGTTTTCAAGTTGATTTCGTAATACGTAGAACTTGTAGGTTTATTTTCAGTTTTGATCATTTTGGCTTTTCTTATACGAAATGAATTGTTTGCGTGAACGCAGTTACTGCGGCGTCCGAGTACATCTTGATTTATATATCACTAAAATTTTCTGAAATATTTGAAATCATCTATCCATTTAAACTTTCAAATATTAGTTTAAAGTATACTGAGTTGCTTGTTAGATTTTATTACTAATAGTTTTGACTTGCAAAACAAGTTATATTTTTTAAAAAAATTGCGCTTGGATTTGTAGCATAATAGAAGATGACGTAGTCTTTTCTTGTTTTGTTAAATAATTTCAGTCATATTATAATGTATTACTTTTGGGTGCATTAGAATGATTCCTTTTAACTACGTAGAAAACCAAAATGATAATGAAATTTTTGCAATTGAACTACGTGCCCTCGCACGATATCATTATAGGTAGATGTTTTATTTCCTATTCAAATAAGACTCTCACATTCAATTATATAACAATAATTTAAACTGTATTAAGTACAGTCCATAGCGTTGAAATCTTATCATAATTTACTCGAATGTTGATTTTTTTGTAGCCAAAAATCAGTCAAAAGATCATTTTTTATTAAAGACGATCAATCAAAACTTAATACCACAGCTTGGTATTCTTAAAACTACGCTAAATGCTCATTATTTTTTTTATCTTTGTCAGATTTATAAACCATTTTGTTCACTAAAGACTTGTGTTCAATAAATTGCGACATTTTCATTTCGCGTGTTATTGCTAGTAAAATTATCAAATTAGAATTAGAAACTTGTAATTTTCAAGTTTAAATTACAGTAGATACTTGAATTTTTTGTTTAGTAAAATATCAAATTTATACAAGTAATTGCCCAAACGATGAGATAAGATTGCATAAATTTGTATTGTATTGTATTGAATCCAAATAATCGAATATTAGATTTTTAAATGATTATTTTACAAAAATTAAGTTGGTCATGTGTAGAAAATATCTGCGTATATTTCAGTATTTTATAATTAACTCAATTGCTATTTTATTATTTTAATGCGATATTTTTCTACTTTTGCCTGTTAAAGACCTATATATATGCATTTGCAATAATTTGTTTTACAAAACTTCACATTAAATTCAGAATATTGGAAATGTTACATAATTCCATATCTGTAGATACTAATCTCTCCAAATTTATAAAGCAAATCAAACAAAAGAACCGGTTTCATACGTTTATATTAAATTAAGCATTTACAGTCCGATTACAATACATCAAATTTTATGCAATCAATCTTTATTAAATGCACGTAAATTATTTGTGTATATTTGTAGTAATTTTTAAATTGTAAATATGATTAATGGAATTATTATTCAAAATGTTTCATGTTTTGACGATAATGCTTCATGACGAACGAAATTTAATTTTACCTTAAAATTTATTTTATTCAATTTTTATATAAAAGTAGTTGAAATTTTAAAAATTGTTTATTTGAAATTTTAAAAATTGTTGTTTTAAAAATTAGTTTATTATTGAACAATTTTCAGAAACATCTGTTCATGCTTAAATATTATTAGCAGTGGTGTGATTTGATTGATAAATTTGAAAATTTGAAAATAAAATTTGCAGTTTTTATAAAAATAGTTTATAAAATGTCTACTATTTTCAATTATTTGATAGTCGATTTACTATTAGAAAAGAATTAGATTTTTCTATTAGAAAACGTGCAGGTAATTTTATTTTGTAAAAAATGTATAAAATTTTTGTATTCCAACCTAAATCTATACTTTTACTAGAAACGATATGGAAAATAGAAATGTGGTAATTTATCACACAAGTCTTTGGCACTTAATGAAAAATTAAGAAACAATTGAAATGAGCTAATAATGAAAATTAAATTATATATTTGACAATTTATTCGTCAATTATTTTCTCAGCAAATAAAATAGTAATGTGCACATCAATTACATTACAAATTTAATCGATTATAAAATAGTCATGAAAATAATCATTTTCATCATATATTTGATGATTGGTTTGAAAATTATTTATTACAGTAAATAAAATAAAGCAATAACATTAAAAATAATTATTTGCAAATTGTATCTTTGAACGTTTACTGGAATGTCTTAACTTTCAAATTCATAACTTATTCAATAAGTTGATTTATTCATAATTTTTAATTAATTAATTAGAGGTAATTTCAATTATGATCTTGCATTTTTCATATGGTTTTTAAATTAATATCATATACGATTTTGAAATTATCATCTCTTACATTGGTTTGGACAAATTTGGTTTTTGATAAATTGATTAAAATTTTCCATTTTTTTTAAGTGTTAATATGGCTTTTGATTTTAATTGAGATTTTGTAATTTTTATTTTCGTTAAATTTCAATTATCCTGCAATTTATTTATTTAAATAAATTTTAAATAATTAAAATATTGTTCTGTAATTATCAAATTTTGTTTTTAATTTCAATGACTTCGCACATTTTCATGAGTTTCAATATACATTTTAACTTGAATTAGAATCTTGAATTTTCCTAATTCCTAATAATTCATTTTAATGATATTGCAGTTTATATAAGTTTTAATATGGATTTTAGTTGTTTTAGTTATGTTTTTCAAATTCCATCTATCATGACATTTGATTAATTTTAATTAAAATCTTATTTTTGTTTCAATTTTTAAGTAATTTCAATGGCTTTGCAACTTTCACAATTTTCATTAAGGTTTATAAATAATTTCAATCGGAATCTTATTTGGTTTTAACTAATTTCAATTTTTCTGAAATTTTCGTGTAATTAAGTTCAAAGATATTATAATTTTCATTAGTTTTAAATAGCATCTTGCATTTTTATATAGTTTTAAATTATATTTATGGTTTTGCAATTGTCATAATCTCATTATAGTTTGAATACGTTCGATTTTTGATAAATTTCGATTAAAATTTTGCAATTTTCATTTGTTTTTATTTAGTTTCCACGGTCCTGCAATACAAGTTTCTAAATAAATTTAAAATAATTAAATTATTATTTTTACTTCGTTAATTGGAATTGTTACATGATTTTTATTTATATTTTAATGATCTTGCAATTTTCATAATTTATTGTATTGTTTTTACTTGATTTCAATTAGGATTTTGCAATTTTTATAATTTTCGATTAATTTTAATGATTTTGCGGTTTTCATAGATTTTAATATGGTTTTTATTTGATTTCACAATTGTGAATTGTCAAATTCCATATAATTTGACTTTGAATTATCAATTCAATTAACATCTTGCCATTGTTATGATTTTTAACTAATTCTAATAATGCAACTTTCATATTTTTTATTCAGGTTAATAATTAGTTTCAATTGTAATCTTGCATTTTTTTTACTTTCAATGATAGATTATTGCAATTCTTATAATTTTTTAGTTTAATTTCAATCATTCTGCAATGTTCATTTGTATTTATTAGTTTAAAAGATAATGAAATTTTTATAAATTTTATTATGGTTTTTAATGACGTTTTTGGTCTGAAATTTATTCCGCCATTTGCAATTTATTCATTTTAATTTGATTCCAATTGATTTCAATTAGGATCTCGCAGTTTTCATAATTTTTGATTAATTTCATCAATTTGCATATAAATAAAGTTTTTAATCGATTTCAATTATGGATTTTCATTTCCTATGACGTTTAATCAATTTTAATTAGGAAGTTGCAATATTCATGATGTTTAAATTTCAATTCGATTTAGTTCAATTTGAATGCAGAATATTTGAATTGTTGCATAATTCCGTATCTGTAGATTAAAATCCGTCGGAATTTATAAAGCAAATTCAACACAAAACCGATTTCATACATTTATATTAAATTCAGCATTTACAGTCCGATCACAATACATCACATTTTATGCAATCAATGTTTATCAAATGCACGTAAAATATTTGTGTATACTCGTAGTGATTTATAGATTATATGAATTTAACCCATCAAAACAATCTTCTGTACCGGCTGTAAACTTGATTTCATTGTGTATGTTACGCAATTCGTTTGACAAAAATTTGTGGTCATTGAAGGACATACTTCATTTTTGATCATTTTATAAAGAATGGCAACAATTAAAAGAATTTTCAACAAGCATAGTGGATTGATTTGACATGCTTCAGAATAAAATATTTTCTTTTTCTCGCATTTAGAGAAAATGCCACTGATTAATCGGTGATTTTGCAATTGTTCATTAAGTTTGAATATGGTTTTTAGAATGTTTTATTGAAAGATTTTAATTTCAGTTAAGATCTTGCAATTTTCATAATTTGAATGTTATTGATTGGATTTCAATGATTTTGCATTTTAATCAGTTTCTATATGATTTTTAATTACTTGCAATTTATTATACATTATTTTGTTTGTAATTCTAGAAAAACCTCGGGCAATTAAAATGATTTAACATTGAATATTTTGTAATTTAACAAATTTTCTCATCATATATTTGAGCATTGATTTCTAAATGATTTATTTAGAATCTTTGAAATCGTTGACTATAGAATGTCTATTAGCTCCCAAATTATATTGAACTTACAACTCGATTTATTCATAATTTAACTTTTGCAAAAAAATTATCTGCCGGAAAATAGCAAGTATTAATTACTTTTTAATTTGAATAATTTTGCAATTTTTATTAAGTTCTAACATAATTTTTATCTAATTTCAATTCTGATCTTGCATTTTTATATGGTTTTTAATTAATTTCATTTATGACTTTGCAATTATCATCTCTCACATTGGTTTGGATAAATTTGGTTTTTGATAAATTAAGTTTGCAATTTTCATAAGTTTTAATATGGTTTTTAATTGATTTCAATTGAGATCTTATAATTTTTATTTGGTTTTAATTTCAATGATCCTGCAATTCAAAGTTATTTAAATAAATTTGAAATAATTAAAATATGGTTTTGTCATTTTCAAAAATGTTACTTTTATTCAATTTCAATGACTTTGCATTTTTCATTTTCAATTTCAATATAGGTTTTAACTTGAATTAGAATACAATACGTTTCATAAGTTTAAATATGGATTTTAGTTGATTTCAGTTAAGGTTTTGTATTTTCATCTATCACGACATTTGATTAATTTTAATTAAGATCTTATTTTCCTTATTTTTAAGTAATTTCAATGGCCTTGCAACTTTCACAATTTTCATTGAGGTTTATAAATAATTTCAATCAGGATCTTTTCATATGCTTTTTAATTACAATTTTCGAGTGCATTTCTATAAATAACTAGTTATATTTAATTAAAACTCAATACTTTACTATTCTGCGATGATTTTATTAGAATAAATTATGAGATATTTTCTATGCATTTTTTTGATTCTATATTATACTTAGAACACTTAATTTAACTTAGAGCAAATTTTCTCCATACTGCTGCCTCAAAGGTTAGCATAAATTCTATATTTACTTATTGAATAGTAATGGGGATATTTTCATATTTGGTATAGTATATAAACTCTTTGAAGTTTTCTGGATTTTTTTTATTTATTTATTTTTTTTTATTTTTTTTTTATTTATTTTTTTTAATTTTTTTTTTATTTTTTGTATATCGAAAATAATTCACATTTTATTTTTAATTCTGACTATAGTTCTAATGTACTTTAAACAAATAATTTCATCTTTGCAATTCAGTTTATATAATTCTTATAAATATTAGACAATGTTACAATATTTATAATAATCTATCTGAAAACATTCAATATTCTTGGAACATTTCGTTACGGTACGGGAAGTTCCAGCAATTTACCTTAAGGCACGATGCCACCCACCCCACTAGTTATTTTTTTTTTATCTGAGCATTCGCACAGAACAGATATTTCTTATAACTTTCCCCACTTCAAAATATTAAAATATTAAAAAATAATGTTATTTAAGCTCAAATAAAACAAATAAAAAACTAATGGTCATGGCGCCGCGGTTTAAAATTCAGTTCTTGCAATATTAGAATATTAGATTATAGCGATATAACGATATATATTTTTGGAAAATATTAACAGCAAATTCATTTATGTCATTAAGTTTTATTAAAAAAATTAATATATTATATTTGCATAATGTTTTAAAGCACTATTTCAATTGTTCTTTTAATAATTAAATTCTTTAACTAGTGGTGTATGGCATCGTGCCTTAAGGAAAATTTCTGGAACTTCCCTGGAAAAATATATTAATATATATTTTATATATATATTTTTTTTCAGAAAATCCGTTGACAGTTCATGAACCAAAGTTTAGTTATTTAAATGATTGAAATTTCTAGTATTAAAAATATTGACTGGAAGATATAAATATTTACAAGATGTCCAAAATGTTTAATTCATAAATCTACTTTCAGTTTTTTTTTTTTTTGTGTTTGGATAAAATACACGTTTTGAAATGGACACGTTTGGTGAATTGGAGGATGTATCCTTGTACTTTGCCTTAAGGCAAGAGGGCAGAATTTTATGTGAGTTTAAATATTTAATAAAGTAGATAATAATATATATATATATATATATATATATATATATATATATATATATATATATATATATATATATATATATATCTAAGCTACATCAAAAAGCTTTGAAATTTTTGAAATCGGTTCAGCTTTGCATACTTATTCCAAAACTTGTTCTCAAACGATTCAGATTGACTTGTTGCAAGCACTCATCGAGTTTTATCTATTTTATAAACTTCCCGAAGGAGAAGTTTGTTTTCATCAAAAAATCCGTTTCGTTAATTTTATGTTTTCTCGACGTTTCAAGCCATTCTGAATCGAATGAGACCAAATTTGGAAAAAGTATGTGTGTGTGTGTGTGTATGTGAACAGATTTTTTGCCGTAAATCGACGTTTTCTCGAAAACGGCTGGGCCGATTTCAAAAATTTAAAAGCCATTCGATGTATCTCGATGAAGACTATAATTTGTCAGTTTTGTGCGACGATCGACCAAGCCATTTCTTTATAAATCGCAGAAAGGTGAAAAATTTTTTGTCCACGTTTTAGCCCGCAATTCTGAATTGATTTTGAAAATTCAAAAACCGTTCGAAAGATATTAATTGAAATCGTGCTGATTAGTTTTTGGTAGAGATCGGCCGGGCCGTTTTCTTGTAATAAAGTTTTTTAAAAAAAAATTCGACGATTTTTATGATTATTTTTTTGACGGTAGATACCATAGTCTTCTAGATCATACTAAAAATATTACGGCCCTACGACAACTGGTTCTGCTTTAAAAATTCGTCAAAGTTTGCAAAAATTAGTTTTATGGCATTTGTCAAAATTAGAACTTTCATCGACGTTTGCTCAAAAACGCCTGAACCGATTTCAAAAATTTAAAAACCATTTGATGTATCTCGCTGAGGATTATCGTTTCGCAGTTTTGCGCGACCGTTTCTTTGTAATTTGAAAAAAAGTGTTAAACTTTTCGTCCACATTTAAGCTCATTCTACCGAATAGATTTTAAAATATCGAACACTGTTCGAAAGATATTAGTTGGGAATAATACTGATTAGTTTTAGGTGAAATTCTACCGAGCCGTTTTCTTGTAATTAACTGTTGAAACAAAAATTTAAGCCGATATTTATGGAACTTTTTTTGACGATATATATCATGGTCTTATAGAACTTACTAAAATATCACGGCCTTATGACAAGTAATGAGTAGTTTTTTTGACGTTTGTTAAAATTAAAATTAGACTATTTACTTGGTATAACGATAGAGTTCTTGGTTTTAATGAACATACTGAGCCATTAAAGTCCTATGGAAACTGGTTCAATTATAATAATCGTTGATTTTTGAAAATTTGTTTTTAGAAAATACTCCGAGTCAAAGTGTTCGTTCGTGTTCAATTATTTGTAATAAATCCACTCGGAATTTAACACTTTTAATCACTCATAAATTAATTTATATTTTATTGATTAAGTCGATTATTTAAACATATAGGGAAGTTCATGTAGCTTGCCTCGATGCAAAATACCAAACCAACTAGTTGAAATCGGTTCAGCTTCACATACTCATTCCCAAACGATTCAGATTGACTTGTCGCATGCATTGACTTGTTATCTATTTTATTTAAAACTATTTTCAGATGATCGTCGGCAATTGGATATGCCTGTACCTCCGAGACAGGTACAAGGCGTTGGCGGCCCTGGTATTACTTTTAGTAAACGCCAGCGGCTACAACGGCGTACAAGTGACCGCCCAAATGATGCAAACCTTTGAGCATTTTGCACTGGCAAATTACATAGAAGGAGGTTTTGTAGAGGTATAATAGATAATGCAATATATCACAATGTACTATCGAAGTGAAACTTCTTAGGCGACTTTGAACAAGGTTGCTTTCAATGCGTTCAATGGGTTCAATGCAAAGTGAGCTAATAATAATGATTGTTTTAGAATGCCATAGATTAGGAATGTTGAAGATTGTTTCAGATTTTTTTAGAATGTAAAATGTTTTTCGAATGTTATGGATTATTTCATAATTTTTAGAATATTTATTAGAACATTGTAGACTATCTGAAAGTGTTGCATACTCTTTGAAGGTCTTGCAGACTGCCCAAAAGCATTGCAATCTCATTTTCACATTACGAAGTTTCACTTCTTTTGCAGAGTATCACTTCTATTATTTTTATTGTTTTTTTTTTGTAGGAAGATGAAGGATTTCCTTCTCTACTCTCCAAAAATAAAAAACTTACTGTTGATTTTTGCCAGTTCTTCCAAAGTATTATAAAGATGGGTGGAGACATAATTTATGATGTTTTTTTTATGAAAAATCTGACCTCAATCTTAAAACATTTGTCTAGATTGGGTCAGAAAAATATAAGATATACGGCAACATTGGCAGGTAAATTGTATTCGTGAGAATGATTTTTATACGTAGACTCTCCTATGGGTTTTTAGATATTTTTAGCCATCTATATATTTTACACATTTCTAGACAATTTCAAAAATATGTAGCCGTTTGTAGATATTTTTTTAAATTTTTGTACATTTTTAACCCTTGCCAGTAGGCGACATATACATTTATGTATATATATCTAGACATTTTTGTACATATTAAAAATTTTTAAGTTACATTTAACCCTCCGTCGGTCGGATATTTTTTCACTTCGAACGGTCGGAAAGGTCTGGCTGGACCACCATTCATTTTACATGCATTTATATGGGATAAATGAGTTTTTGGTGTCTTATATATTAACGATTATTAGTAGTAAATATTTATAGTTTAGATTTTTTCTTTTTACGGTAAGTCTTTTGCATGTGTTGAGCTTGCTTATAATAAAAATATTACATACATATTATATTATATAAAAAAATCAAGAAATATAAAAAAATCGTTGCTTTTTTTGTTAATTTTTCTGTTTTATATCAATGAAAAACAATATTTATTCTTTTTCTGCGTCTTTGAAATGAATGTGAAATTCAAAAGAAAACGAAATGAGGTGCGTCGTCTTTGAAATGAGCTGTAAAACTCGAAGTGAAAATATAATTTCACTACAGGTTTGGCAAAAAAAAAAAAATTCGAACGCAGTACGGGTAGAAAAATTGTTGATAATGTGTGCATTACTCATCCGATTTTCAGTGTTTGCGATTACCAATAAGTTTGGTAGGTTTTTAAGGAACTTTCGTCATGAAAATAGTAACATTCATGCTACAACACATAGCAAAGAATATATACAACGCTGTTTGAATAGAAAATACCATGAAAAGAAGATAAAATACTGGTTTACATAAATCAAAAAGCGTATATTTCATACAAAATGTATGGGTGGTCTAGACAGACCTTTCCGACCGTTCGAAGTATAAAAAAGTGAATATCCTTATAATTATCCTTCTGTACAATTTTTCGTCCTGATTTTTTTATTGATCGACAGCTAATGAAATTTTAGGAAAAGTCAAGAAATTTCGAGTCGATAGGATTACTAGAAGTATTTTTTTTTTTTTGTTAATTGAAGTCGAAAAAAGTCTGGCCGGACCACGCCGACCGACGGAGGGTTAAACATCACTAGACATTAAAAATGAATACATTGGCAAAAGAGTTGAAAAAATATTTTAAAATTACCATTTGATTAACTGATTTTTTATATATCTATTCAGGCTGGTCGATCAATACAGAGTTGGCAGGATTACTGGAACAAGCGGCTTCAGACCTGAATCGGTGGTCGGAGCTGATTCAGGTCGAAGAAGCGAAGGAGACGACGAGGCGTGATCTGAGCCGCTTGGCATTCCTTCAATCTGAAAAAAATAAATTAAATAAAAAGTATAGGGAACTTGAATTGTGCATCAACTCCCTATACAGGCATTTAATTTATAAACGCATCAAGTAAGATATTTTGACATTTATGGGCCAATTCTTCTTGGATAACACAGCTAAGTTTTGTTTGTAGACTCCTGCTTTAACATATCATGTCTTAAATAAGCATATGTTCAGGATTATGTATTCTTGGAGCACGTCGTGTAGGAGGCACTCTTTTTTCGATTGAATTGAATGGAATGGGTCCTATTCAGTTTTTTCCTTTTCTTTTCATGATCGTTCTCAGTCGAGTCTTTTATGGACTTATTCTTTTCCAATCACCTGTCTCCTGCGCACCACATTTTAAAACTCTCCAAATAGTAATAGTAGGTAAATATTAATAGTAAAGAGCTATGCTCTGGACAAAACATTTTTTTTATCAATATCATCCACAAGTCGAGACTTGGTTGGTTCTCACTAGTGTTCTCAACTTCGCAAACTCCACCTTGGCGCTTGCGATCTTTGTCCTGATCTTTCTCGTGCTCCAATTTTTGATTTTCTACTGTTATCTTCAGAGTATCATCTCGTTTTGATACTCTCATCACCAGGGCCGGATTTAGAAATTTGGCGCCCCGGGGCAATGACAAAAATGCCGCTCCATCCCTAAAATTTTACGAACTTTGGAACTTTTTTTTAAAGCAATCGCGCTGCTTCAGCTACGAGGGAGAAAATATAGAAGCGCGTAAGCGCCGCGTTGCAGTCTAACGGATAAACAATGTTACAGAACTTATATAAATGTAAACAAAATTTATACTTATGATCACTTTTGTCCGCCAAATGTTTCTTTTTCAATTTTTTTTATTGGATCACAAAACCGCTAAACCTGCCCTCCACAAATTTAAGCAGTTATTTATTCTGTAATTTATTCTTGTTTGAATGTTATTGGATGCTTTTTTCTCAAAAACTGAATTATCAGTTTTGGCATTTTGGCCCGTATCTTCACAACAGTTGGACCTGCCTTGAGGTCTGTTTATCGATATGAATTGAATCATAAATCGGTTGATCCGTGCTCTCGAAATCGACTTAAATAATTAAACAATATTATATTTCTATTGATGGGGAAACGTGCTGATTAGCTTTTGGTACAGGCAATTACGTAAAATGGAAATTGAGTTTCGATATTTCTTCTCTTCTTTGCAAAAAGTTCATAATTTTCGAAAAATTTCAAAATACAAAAAATGTGTTTTAGAAGTATTTTTTTTCATTTTTCAATAAATGTTGAAGCTCTTTATAAAATGTAATTTTTAGTAAGTGATGTTTCAATAATTTGTCTCAAGGCACAATGCCATGAGTCACTAGTTTAAATTTTTTTCGACGCTATGAGCTTGGAAGTGCACAAATACGCCATTTTAAGAGGGCTCGAGAACTGAAGAACATATTTTTCTTAAACTATCAGCTTGTTTACGGATCTTTATATTAGCCAAATTGCCAAATTTGATGACTTATTAACCAATTTGATAATTTGCGTTCGGAGAGGGAGGCAAGGCAAAATAATAAATTTTACTTATCGTTTATTTCAACCCAAATTTTGCATTGCAATCATATTATGTTTTGTTAATTATATTTCTTGAAATAAAAAATGTTGTTAAAAAGGTTGATCATATTGTATAGAATTTTTTTCTCACTATCCAAATTTTGCCGCCCCCCAAAACTTGCCGCCCTGGGCAGTAGCCCCGATTGCCCCTACTGTAAATCCAACACTGCTCATCACTTCCAATTTGTTGATGTTGATTTCCGTTCCATATCTTCTACCCATTTCGACGATTCTGTCCATCATGTTTTGCAGCTCGGTTTGGTTTTCTGATATTACCACTAGATCAATCATTTTGCCATATAAAACAAAATGTCACCAGGAATAGCTGTTATACCTACCATAATTCCTTGAACCGCATAAGTTAAAGAATATTTTTTAAACATCAGTTTATTTACAGAGATATCGCACCTGTCACAAGACGTGTCAGCATACGAGAATTGGGCCGCTTGTTAAGAAAGCACCCAGGACTATTACACGAATCGACTTTGCGGCTTTTTGCATTTTTCCTCTATGACAAGGTATATATATATATATATATATATATATATATATAATAAATAAATGGTAGTCTTTCATCCATGCTTCCTGATCCTGCACTTCGGTTTTCAGTACCCTGTATTTTCTCTTTACCAATCCCTTCAGCCCTTCTATTTTACCATCCACGACGTCGTGCAGGAGGCACTCTTTAGAACAAAACGGGTCCAATCCAGTTTCCTTCCTTCTTCAAGATTCTTGAAAAGGCCGATCTTGAAATGTCAAGAGAACAGAAAAATCTCCTCAGGCAGTTACTAATAATGATTTTTTCTATATCTTCACAGGCTGCATCAGTACGGGCAAGCGTTTTAAAAGCCTTGCTCCCGTTGTATGAGGACGTAAAATTAGCCAACAAATTAAAATTGTTCAGTCACAAATACCAACAAAGAATTCTTAGATTATCTTGGGATAAGAGCGGATGCAATCAGGAGATTGCAATAAAGCTCGTCACAGCAGTGTTCAGGTGAGAGTTGAGAATAAAAATGTTCACTTAATAGACAAATGTATGAAACTTTTGATGGTGATAACCCAGTAAACACCCAACGGTAGTAGCAATCTTATATTACAGCTGTTCAAAAAATAATAGTATATTGCCAGCGATAAAGTAAAAAAAATACAAGCAATAAATGAATTGTATGTTAATTCTAATTGAAGAGTGAAGTTGCGAAAACAATATTTGTTTAGGCGTTGTTTGACATAATCCACTGTCTCAACAAATATTATAGAAGTTATTAATCAGCAATTTATTAATCTTCATTTCTCTATGTCATATTTGAAGTATGACTTTAATTACATGATTGTTTTTAAATATTTTAAATATTTTTAACTTCCCGTAGGGTAAGTTATTGTAATGGGCCGAAAATCGGAATTGAAAATTTTTACATTTCTCGACGTTTTGAAGGTTTCTGAACGTTTTGGCATACCTCAGAAAAAATTGATGTGTGTGTGTGTGTGTGTGTGTGTGTATGTATGTGTGGATACAAATTTCCAGTCACGTTTTAGGGCGCACGGATCAACCGATTTAAATGGTTCAAAAAACATTCGATTCCTATTGATAAGGAAAAGAGCTGATTAGTTTTTGGCAAAGGCAGGTCCAGCCGTTTGGAGATACGGACCAAAGAGTGCAGAAAATAGAAATCGAATTTTTGAGAGAACGGAGTATCCGATTTGAATGATCTAAAAAACATTCAATTAGTAATGATTGGGAGAAGTGTTTATTAGTTTTTGGCAAAAACAGGCCCAGCCATTTCGAAGATACGAAGCTAAATATGTAAAAAATGGCAGTTTTTGAGAGAACTAAGCGTCCGATTTAAATGATTCAAAGAACTTTCTGCTTGTCTTAATAAAATAATTGATATTGGAAAAAAAAATTTTGTTCCATTTTTTTTTTTTTTTTAGTTTTTTGTATAAAATATTTCAGATTTTATTTTATTATTTTATATTAGACAATGATACAATATTTATAATAATCTTCTTGAAAACATTCAGTATTCAACGGGAAGTTCAGCAATTTGCCTTAAGGCACGATGCCATAATTGCCTCAAGACACGAATTCCACTTACCGCTAGTTAATGCTATTATTAAATATATAATTTTTTATAATTTTTTATTATATAAATGTATACGTATAATGGTTGACGCTATGGGATGAAGCCCCTTTCTGGGGTATTGCAATGACTGCCGCTTATTATTTTAGCATTTCCCCATTACGAAAGGTGTACTTCAACTTCTTAACCCGACTTCTACGAATGTCCTGTAATTACCTGTTAAAACTGATATAGCTAATTAATTATCCATTTTTGTCCATTCAGGTCCTATCCGTACCTATTCACTACGAAGGACTTGAACACTGTTTCAAGTTTAATTGTTCTCTCCGAACCGAAAGATTGCGGTGGCAGCAGCCAGTTTTTTTATAATGTCTTTGTAATATTGGATCAAGATTCAAATGGGGCCGGATTTGGGGTTCGATGGTTCAGGCATGTGACAACTTCGATCATTGAATTGAAAGTTAAGTAAAATATGTATATCGGATAGTCATTGGATGCGTATAAAATAATTTTTTTGAATCTTTATTCTTTATTTT